CCTAAGAACAGACTTAGCAATTGCTTGGGCATTCTAATTTAAATGATTTATATTACCAACGCATTATCCATTTAATAATTCATAACCTGCCATACATCCAGTAAATGAGTATTCAGATTAGTTCTCTTAACATACTTTATGGCCTGTTTAACATTCTTTGAATAACCATTTGATATACTTAATGTGCATTTTTAATCAGTATCATTTAAAGGAGATTAACCATCTATGCAGGTAGCACAAAATGAATTGGTAGCATCACAAGTTTTACAATACTGACCACATTCTTTAGAATAAATGAATGTTAATACATGGAGCTGATGGAGAAGTAGCACAATTTTAACCATAATTGTATCCACTACAATATATACATTTGTAAATTCCAGAATATTTTTATCCAATTAAACAACCATTGTTATATAATGAGGATTTTGCTTCAGTTGTAAAGATTAGATTTCCATTTTGATCATATGAATATATCATTACATATGGCCACCATCCTAAAAGTAAATGAGTATCACGATTCCCGTATAAAACATATCCTTATATTTATGGATGACACATGACTTCTTTTTCACCAATTATAACCTATCTAAGGGCTGTTGTTCCACCGCATTCTCTTGGAACACCTTAAAATAGTCTAAATAAATAACCTGCGCACATATGAGGATGAATGCCTGGCCAGTATTAGTGAGAACTTGGACAAGACCTTTAAAAAATTTCTTTGTTAAATTAGGTTTAAAATGATCGAAAACATAAACACACTTAGAACAGCCTTATTATTATGAGTCCATAGATGATGTTCATTATCTTGCCAATTTTAATGTTTTTATTATTGATTTTTGAAAATAATGAAGATTATACTTTTTTATCTAAATCATTATATCGTATAATACATTATAATTATATTGCCTTTAAATTAAGCTACTCATAATATTGGTCGCAAATTAATCAAATTTGACAAATTTCTACTATGGCTTTCATTTAATAATCAATGATTACAATTATTTAATGAGTTTTATCATTTTTATGCCATAGTCTTCCTTTTGGTTCTGTTTTGAAATAACAACTTTTCAGAAATTATCAAATGAATAACTAACTTAAAGAAATAATTAAAATTGATGAAACAGTTTTTATGATAATGTTAAAATTAATTCTTAAAATTAAGTTAATTAATCCAATTTTTATGTATAAAATTTCATATGATATTTCTCAGTATTAAAAGAAGCTTAGACAAAAAATGAGATTTTTAAATTAATAATTTTTACAATAAAAATTTATAGAACCTTTCATTTTAAAAAGACTTTATAAGAACAAAAGTTGAATTATTAACTTTGATTTAATAATAAGTTGAGGATATACTTTAATTTATTGACCAAATTAATACTTTTGCTTTTTTCAAACATTATGTTTATATTTTCGAATTAAGTGCATCAATAATTTCAGCCATTACGAAAGCATCATATCAGCCATAATAATGATGCAAGATAAATTATTAATCATTAAGCAAGATTCTTTTTATTTGAAAATAAAAAAATTCTAATAAGTGAGATAAACTTTAACAAAAGATCATTCATAAAAATTTTAACCAATTTAATTTAATATTTTTTTTTATGAAATGGTTTTAAGCTTTTAATATCAATTTTAATGATGATTTAATTAATAGAAGTTTTATGTTTTAAAAAAATATTTCAAACTTTATTGCTGATAGAGGCTTGCTCCTTCTTGATATTAAACAATAAATTAAGAAAATGAATTTCCATTTGCATATCAAATAATAAAAATTTACAATTATTTTAATCAAATTGGATAATTCTTTTATCTAAAATCTACATTAAGAAATTTAGAAGTGTGAAATAAAACCATTATTTCTAAACGATTGAGAAGAAATCTTAATAGTAAATAATTTAATACTAAATGAAAAACACCTTACCCTCAATGCTTAAATCTTTAATAAGGTATTTAAAATTTAGAGCATGAATAAGGAAAAAATCCTTAAGGTAAAAATAATCTCAAAATTTTATTGATTAATGTTTATAAATGTTTATTCTATAATTATAATAAGGAAGCTCTGAAATAAATCCTAAAAAGAAAGTTACTTTAGCACCATTAAAGAGTAAAAGATGTAATGGAGACCCTCAATATCAAATAAAATAAAAAATGATAGAAGAAATTAGAAAGAAGAAATAATAACGTGTAAATGAATTCAATGATTTATAAAATATCCATTCGATACAATATACAGAGAGATATGTAAGATAATATTACAAATTTGATGAAAAGAAATCAAAATTAAAACAAAAAGCTTTATCTTGTTCAAATAATAAATGTTCATTTATGTCAATAAGTAAAGTGGTTGATTTACCATCAATAATAGATTGGAAAAGAGAGAATAAGTTAATTACACCTGAATGTTCAGATAATGGAGATTTTACAAGGTATGTGAGAAAGCAAATAATAAAAAATGGTTAAAAATCATTTGATTAATGATTAAATATGTATTTATTACTATAAAGAATAGTATAAACTAATTTTGATATATTTTTAAGATAAATAATTGATTTTAATTTAAAAATATTTCAACTATTTTTATATGCTAAGTGTGAAAGAGTTCAAGAGTACTCCAATAACAGAGACAAAAGGATAATGTGGTTTTGATATTAGTGGGAATAGAGCATTATTAACATGGAATTAAAGCTTGATTGAGTATGATTTAATTGAGCACAAAAAAACCGCGGAAACTGTGCTTGAGTCAAATATGTTGTCTTTAGCAATTCACCCATTAAATTAATAGGTTTTCGCAATAGGAGAGATGAGAGTAGATACATATGATGATATATAAATGACAGCTCCATCTCTAATTGTGACATTAACAGGAAAGGTGATTTAGATTAAATATAATAATAATGGTAAAATAATGGGGATTGCATCTGAAGAGAATTCATTAATATTGAGTAGGGATAATAAGATATCAAGATGTAAACCTGGACATGATGGAATGATATTAAGTTGTTCATTTGATCCAAGAGATAGATTGGTATGTAGTATTGGTTGCGATGGTTGTTTAATAGTGTATTAATTATCATAAATACCATAATTATTGTAGAGATACACAATTAGTAAATAATTATCTCCAGATACTTTCCAAAAGTTGTAATCAGATTTTCATCCCTCAGGTAACTCATTTTGGATTGCTGGAAAGATAAATGCACAATATATAATTACAGAGGATGAACCCTAAGATTTATAACAATAATATTAGATTCTGCATAAGAGTGAGATATGTATAATAAAATGGATGAAAGAGAATTGTGTAGGATCATGTTCATTAGATGGTGAAATTAAATTATGGCATTTTAAATCATTTACTGATTTATCATTGCATTGGTAATTTAATATTCAATGCACACCATTGTATATGATAATGATTTAAAAGTTATTATATTTATTTGATAGTAATGGAAATTTAATAGAAACAAGTTTAGATCCACCATTAACAGATTATGAGAGAATTTATAAAGATAAAAATAGTGCTTTACAAGATTTATTAAATTAGAAAGCAAAGAAGAACAATAATTAAGCAATCGAAGAAGAATTGATGGATGAATAGGAGATTATGGAAAATAAGGATGGATTGGATAATAATGTAAATGCAAAATAGAAATAATAAAAATAATAAGTAATGGATTCTGGAATGTAAGATATTCTAAGACCAGGTGAAACATTATTATCTAGAGGAAGATAATATTTATGTTATAATACAGTTGGAACAATTATATTGTGTAAGAATACAAATATGATTGAATTTGAATTCTTTGATTCAACATTTTATAAGAAATTTAAAATAAGTAATTAATAAAGATATGCAATCGGTACATTGAATTATAGAGGATGTGTATTGGCATCAAAAGGACCGAACGATTTAGATGAATAAGGTTATTTAGTAGGAGATGGAAAATCTATAGTGTTTTTCTAATAATTTATAGGGGATGTAGATGATTTTGAATTTTCATTACCAGATGAAGAAGGAGCTGAACTTGTTACAATTGGAAATGATTGGTTTGCCATAATGAGTGATCATGGAATTTGTAGAGTGGTTTCATTTTGTGGTTTGTAACTCTTAGAATTTAATACAAATAGACCTGTTGTGTCTATGTGTGCATATGAACATTTATTATGTTTGGTTTGTCATGATTCATCTCCAATGTTAAATCAATAAGTTTTGAAATGTAGAGTATATGATATTGATTTACAAAAATTAATTGAAGAATTTGATATATTCCTTACTCCATTTTCATCACTTTCATGGATTGGTTATTCTGATGAAGGATTGTTGACAATCTAAGATACAAAAGGAGTGATTAGAATTTATTAGTAAAGTAGATGGATTGAAGTCTATCATAATTAAAGAGTTTGGCTTTATGGTATACAAGATTATAAGTTATGTTTGTTAAAAACAGAATAACCACTGGCATCAATGAAATAGGAAATGATTTAATAGAATTTTGAATAACCTTTTTTAACTTCATTTTAGGATGAAAAGTTAGTTACAAATTATAAACAATTTCTTAATTAATTGATTATATTGAATCATGAATTATATAGATGGAATGAATTTGGCAAATATTATTATGCTCGAAACGATGATAAATAAAATGATATTCTTGTAAGATACACATAAAATTTATATGATTCTACCAAAATTGAAGATACGTAAAAATTGTTAAGAAAACTCAGAGTTGAATTGTTTAAGTAGATTTTAAATGAATCAAAAGACAAAGCTATTGAATTCTTTAAGTGTCACATTAAAGATGAATATGATATGAATTCTATTATCAGTTTATTAGAATTATAGAAGGAAAAATAGACATCAAATAAGGAAATTTTAAAATTGTTAAATCAAATTAAATTATTATAGAGGGTAATAAATATCATTAATATTATTGTAGTAATAAATAATCAAATAGTAATAGAAGTTTGGTATTGACAAAAGACCTTCGTCTCCAAAGAGATAAGGATTTGGATTATAGAAATAAAATGATTAAGTGAATTTGAATTAAATAAAATCAATTTTAGAACATAAAGAACACTAATAATAATAATAATAACAATAATAACAATAATAATAATAATACTAAACTTAATCATAAAGAATTGAAAGTTAATAAGAAGATGAAGATTTTAATCCATTTGCAAAATCAGCAAATAAAAAATAAAGTAGTATCTTTGATATAGGAGAGAAGAGAAAACCAACACAGACATTTGGAACATAAAATATAAAAAAAAAGAATTGATTATATTTAATATATTTATATTGATGAGTCGAAATCAATCGCCAAGGAGATTCTAAAATGTGTTAGATAAGTGGCATTATAGTAAGTGTTCAGAAATAAAGATTCACTTCTATGTTAAGAATCTCTATATGGGTAATCAGACAGAAGATTAATTTTTGTGTTTTGTGAAAGAACGAGTATAGAAGGCGGTAAGATGATAATGATGAATAAGGGTCCTTGTGAAGTGATTCAAATAACAGACAAGAATTAGAATGAAAGAACAATTGATATAGCAATAGGTATGCGATATGATAATGATGCTAAATTGATATATATTGGAAAGAAACATATCAATTTAGTATCAAAACATCAAAGTGAAAAGAAAATAATTCCAATGATTAGTGAAATATTTTTGATGATGTTAAGGGTAGTGAATGATATATTATAGGGTGTTAGGAGAAGGGAGAAGTTGACAAATAAGCATTGGAAGAAAAATTAAGATAATAAAGATTTGGAGAAAAAAAAAGAGATAGATCAAGTAGTTAAGAATCTTCAAAATCTGAGGGTCCTGAGAAGAAGAAGAATCCTAATGCGATAGTCTTAAATTTATAAGTTATTCCATAATAGAAAAACATTGTTCTTCCTATTGTGGATATTCAACCTGTTTAAATAACAAGTAATGAATTTATGTATAAATATGTTATAGTTCCCAAGGAAAGTTTTTATATCTTTGGAATTCCTTAAGAATTCACTTTACAAGAATGTTTGATGGATATTAAAAATAGATTCAATTTATAGTAATTACCAGATGGAATATTTAAGAGTGAAAAATAGTAAGATCATATTTTTGAATATTTGGAAGTGCAATTGGAAATGTAATGGAAGAATTAGTTATAAAAAATTAAGAATGTACCCTGTCTTATATGTTAAAAGAAAAAGAAGACTGATACATTCTCAGACATACTTAAACAATATTAATTATTCATAAAAACATAACATCCAATCAACACAAATAAATTATTGTCAATCTTTCAATAATATGGTGATATTATTGGATTGTATGAATTGTTAGTTAAGTAAATTCACTTTCACTATTTATAGTCAGGAGGAATCCTCCAATTCTCATTGTATTGTCTATACATCTGATTAATTCATTAAACGTTTGAAACCTCCAGGTTAAATTGAAATACCTGAAGAAAAGACTATTTGTGAATACAGAATACCTGAATAAAATTTTGTTTCTTTTTAAAGAATTCCCTACAAAAATACCTTACATGCCTAAATTGCAAGGGATTCTAGTAGTTCTAGTAGTAGTAGTTCATCATCATCAGTAATCATTTTATTATCATTTATAGTCATCACGGAGTAGAAGTGATAGCAATCCAAGAAAAAAAAAATAATACAGTATATACTATTATTATAAATATAATTTTAGATAACAATCGTAAAAGATAGAACTACAGAAGAAATAATAATTATTATGACAATTGAGATGAGTTTAAATATATTAAATATATTGATTTTATTTTAAGGTATAATAATTCATCATTATTCTTCATTTCTTTTATTATTATTATTGCTATTAAATTTATTACACTTGCAACACTCGTTTCTATAATTCAATATTCAATTTATCCATGAATTATTTTTTCTAATTAATTATATTGCTAAGTTTATCTTGAGACTCTTTCAATAATTGCAATTTTCTATCACAAAATTATGATCCTTATTCAGTATTACGCTCAACAAAATATCCTGTTCCATAATCTATCATAACTGATTATGGATTAATCAATCTTCCTCATTATGGTATTTAATTTGTACCTGGTACATAGAGTGAGGCAGTAATGGGCACTAAGAGATCATTATTTTTAGGGGTTTGATCTAATTTTTTTAAGATGATTTTGCTTTCTTCATATTTAGAATTAGCAATTCTGAATTAGGATAACGATTAAGTGAGTTATTAGACTTCCTAATAAATAGGATAATGTAAAACCTCTTCTAGTTGCTTTTTAATCTACAACAATTATTGAGGAGTCAATTTATCAAGTGGGATAGCTTTTTGTTCTTCTTGTTATTGGCTCATCACAATTTAAATATATAAATTTTAATGTCTGATTCCGAAGAAGAATAAGTGAAACAAGCTCCGATAATAAAGCCTCATTAAAAATAACAAAAGGACTTTTATGCTGAATAATTATAAGCTAATGAAGAGGCAGATTCATAAGCCCCTTTGTTAGTAGTAGTTTAAGGACCAAAAGGGAGTGGGAAGACAACATTAATAAAATCTTTAGTCAAACATTATACTGGATAGAAGATAAAAAAATTAGTAGGTCCAGTAACAGTTCGTTCAAACAAATAACATAGAGTGACATTTATTGAATGTCCAAGTGATATCAATGCAATGAGTGATTTAAGTAAAGTGGCTGATTTAGCATTAATAATGATTGATGCTAGTATAGGGTTTGAAATGGAAACATTTGAGTATTTAAGTTTGCTAAATAATCATGGTTTTCCAAATGTAATGGGTGTATTGACACATATAGATTTCTTTAAAGATAATAAACAATTAAGAAAGACAAGAAAGAAGTACAAGAAGAGATTTGAATATGAAACAGGTGGAAATTATAAATTGTTCTATTTGTAAGCATTAAAGAACGAATACTATTTGAAATAGGATATTCATAATTTAGCAAGGTTTATTTCGATAATAAAGATTGCACCAGTGAGATGGAAAACAGAACATCCATTTGTTTTAGCAGATCGTTATGAGTAAGGTAAGGATAATACTACAACATTTTATGGATATGTAAGAGGATGTACATATAGATTAAATGATAGAATTCATTTTGTAGGTTAAGGAGATTACTATATAGAAAGTTTTGAAGAGGTATTAGATCCTGTTGAAATTATTACTACATAAAAGAAACATAGATCATTGAAAGATACTGAAAAATTAGTTTATGCTCCTATGTCAAGTATTGGTGCTTTAACAATTGATGCTACAGCAGGATATATTACAATTCCATAACCAATATTCACAGAAAAGAATAAATTTGTTAATCAGGAAGAAGAGGATGAGGAAGAAGTAGAAGAGGAAGAAGAATAAGAATTACCAGAAGGAGTAAAAATGGTTAGAGAATTATAATAAATGACTGAAGGAATTGATAAATAATTAGAGGAAGAAGAAGATGTTTAATTATTGGAAGGTTTTGAATTAGAATAAGAATAACCTATAAAAAATAAAAATAATTAATAATAGATTTAATAATAAAGAGAATTAGTTAGATTAAAGAATAGAGTCAATATTAAAATTGAGAATGGAACTGTTTTACCTATTTCAGATACATTGTTAGCTACTGATCTACATGAATTAATCTATTAAAATAAAAATGGTATTAATGAATTTGATAGTGTAAGATACATACCAAAAGTTTAAGAAAGAGATTCATATAAAGAAATTAAAGAATTATTTGTAACAGGGTTTTATGGATAATCTGATGTTGTGGATTTAGAATATTTATAAAAATAAATTGAAGAAGAAGAATAAGAAGAGAAATAAGAAGAATAATAAGAATAAGAAAAATAAGATTAAGAGGATAAACAAAATTAAAATTAAAAGGAGAAATAAAATAGATAATAACTTGTAAATTAATTAACATAATCTAATCTTGGATTGTATAAAAAAGGAACATATGTTAAAATTGTTATTAAAGATTTTTCTTAATAAATTAGAGATGATTATCCAATGATACTTGCAAGATCTGAAGTGGGAGAGGATAATTTAGGATTCATTAAAGTAATACTTATATTAAAATAATTAGATACGAATAAAAAAACATAGATGGCATAGTAATATCTTAAAATCAAATGATCCAATCATCATTTCCTTAGGATGGAGAAGATTTTAAACAATTCCTATATATTGTGTTCAAGATCCTAATGATAGATTACGTTTCATTAAGTATACACCAGAATATGATTATTGTTATGCTATTTTTTATGGCAATTTTGCACCATAAGGAACTGGACTTGTTTGTACTTAATCATTAAGCAATAAGTTGGTATTAATTTTAATTTATATTAAATTAGTCTAAATTTAGAATAGCTGCTACTGGTATAGTTTTAGAAATGAATCATTAATTTGATGTAATGAAAAAGTTAAAGTTAGTAGGAGAACCTTTTAAAGTTATTAAAAATACTGCTTTTATAAAAGGAATGTTTAATTCTTCTCTTGAAGTGGCTAAATTTTAAGGTGGATTAATTAAAACTGTATCTGGTTTAAGAGGACATATAAAGAAACCAAGCAAATTAGGTCCTGATGGTAGTTTTAGAGCAACTTTTGAAGACAAGATTTAAATGAGTGATTTAGTATTTTGTAGAACATGGGTTAGAATGCATTTAGAAAGATTTTATAGACTTATTACAAGTGATGTTAAATTAATGAAAACAATGTGGGAGTTAAGATAAGAAAGATAAATACCTTTAGAATTTAAAGCAGATTCTGCTTATTAAGATTAAGAAAGAGTTCCTGTTAAATTTGCTCCACTTAGAATACCTAATAATTTATAGTAGAATCTGCCTTTTGAAAGCAAAGAGAAAGTAAAGGAATTTAAATAAATAATAGGTGAAATCTTTATCATTTAGAGAGAAATTGAGATAATAGGTGGAAAAGAATTTACCTGTTAAGAGTAATATGACTGATAAGGAGAAAGAAGTTTATTCGTTAATACAACGGTTAAATACTATAAAGAATGAGAAGGAAAAGAAAAGAGAAGAAAAAGATGTATAAAAATAGAAGATTAAAGATGCATAATTTAAAGGATAAAAATAACATCTAGAAGAAGGGAAGAGAAAGTATAAACAATAAAAATAAAAGGAAAAATTTATAAAATAAGTTAAAAAATAATAATAGTAGTGATAAATAATGTGTATATTAAATATATAATAAAAATGAAGTATGGTTCTCCTAAAATATCATCAAATACAATTGATGTCTTAGATGAAACATTGTCTCCTCAAAAATCTACAAGACCTTATGGAAGAGAGAAAAGGAGTATTAGTAGTAAGATGAAAGATTTCACTTATGACAATTAATTGTTTGATAAGGTTGATAATAAGATAAGAGCTTATCTTTAAAAGAATTAGGTCAATTATGAAAAGACTCTAATTAAACTTTATAAGTTAGATTCTCTTAAAAGTGATAAAGCAAAACGATTGTTAGGAGAACTCAATCAAACCAGACGGATATAATAATATAGTGCCGTTCGACAAACTAAATCTATGCAGAATTCTCATCCATCACTCTATAGAGAAAGAAATAATAGTCTCCCTTCTTCTAAACAAATGCAATTAGATCTTAAATAAATTTAATAGGAATTAAAAAAAATCAATCCTGATATCGAACATAAGGTATTAATGAATATATCAATCTTTAAATTTAATCAATCAAACTGTGCTCGTCTAGAATAAGAAGAATGGGAAAGAGTTGCCTTTTAATAATACCCTTATAAAATCAGACCAAAAATGACCAATTTCTAGTAAGAATTAGATCGATTAAACAGTTATTATTCGAGAAATGAAAATTCTTTGAATTAACTTATGCAAATCTAAAAAGATCTACTGCACTACAAATTGCTTTAATAATGATATTTATCTATAATATTAATATATACTCAGAAATGATCTGGAAAAAGACACAATATTAGATCTCTAGTTTATGGAAATTGTTGAAGAATATATATTATTATTTTTTTTAGTTCCTCCATATCTTACACTCTTTCACTTAAATATTTATATTCAGCTGAATTTTAATTAGTAATCATTGTTTCAATTATATTTGATAATTTCTCTTGATTATTAGGCCAAGTATCACATAACTATTTTGTTTAAATTCTCTAATTACTTTCTTTATATAAGTATATAATGTTTTTTCATATATTTTAATATCTCCATTAGATAAAAATATTTTTAATTATTCTTCCAATTTAGATATTTATTATATATCATTTATTGAATCACCAATATTAGTTTTTTAGATTAATCTCTTATAGATCTGAGCGTCATTATACAGAGGAGTTTAGTATTAATTAAAATTAAATTTTTTTAGATTCTTTATATCATTATTTTGATTGCTAATTAATATTATATATATGATAATTACTTCACATCAATTTATTTAGTTTTTGTCCATTATCTTAATTACTTTTGATAAGTATAAACACAATAATCTTTAAAAAGAAATTCTACCAAAGGATAACCTTCTGTGTCTATTTTAAGATTTGCTTTGATCAATGGATCAATACTTTATTTACCTTTCTTCTCATCTTCATTAAGTAATTGCTTTTTATTCATCCATTCATATACATGTTACATAAGTATTTTAATATCTCCCTCATAAGATATTATTTATTATTTTAAATCAATTACTTTAAATTCTCCAGTATTTTGTAGACATAGAATATGATTTTAAGAACTCAAAACAATTTAACTCAAAAATGGTAAAATGAAGGGTGCTTCTTATCTTATTCCTTTATGATTCTCAATATAAAGTAAGGCTTAATCTGTATAAATTACTATAAGATCATCATTATATTGAATTGTTTTTACTTAACCCTCTACATAATCAATCCATTTTGGTGTATTATTCTCAATAAATCTAATCAAAGTTCCATAGATAGTTTAATTGAATATTTTTTATTACTATTTTTGGACTTCCAATAATAGAGTTTTTTTATTCATTTAAAAAGAATAACTTTTAGGTAACACTTCATATTATTAAATAATTAATAAAGGTTATTATTATTCAATCTTTTTAACAATAGGTTCTTATTAATTAATTTCTAAAGGAATTAATTTTTTCTTTCCATCAACAATAATTTATTTAAATTAAGTGTGTGTTTGTTTTGGAATTTCTCTTTAATATATAGTACTATCAGATATTTGATTTTTGAATTCATCCTAATTATGTATTTGTTCTATTTACATATCTGCAAACTTTAAATTTTCATTAATTTTAGGTTAATAAAACCTAATCTATTTGACAGTATTTTTAAGATCTCCATAAAGATTCTTAATTTATTATTACTTTTCATTTTCACTTAAAACCTAACCTAAACTCATCTAAAATAAATAATTATCTTATGTACCATCATTATCTCCAATAGCAAAAACACTAAAATATTCATTAGTATTAGAATTTTTAAATAACATAGATGAGAATCTAACTACATTAATTGATGAAAATGGACCTACTATGGTTCTAATAACTTAAAAATTTTAATTTCTATCTAAAATAGCTACAGTTGGAATTGTCTATTAATTATAAAATAAATACTTTATCATCTAAATTTGGTATAGCTAAATATCTACAATCAACACTCCAATCTAATTTTCTATCTTCTCTTTTGGTTGTACATTATTTACCTTATATTTAAAGGGAAATTGAGATTTCTTATTTCCAATTATCAATTTTATAAAAATTGACCTTATATATAATGTTTCAATACTGTATTGTCAAATTTTAAGGAAACAATATACTTATCAAATGGATCCCAACAAATTCCAACTGTTTTTTAACCACAATCAATTTTATGTTAAATTCCATCTTATTTAATATGATAAATAAAGATATTTCCATCTAATGATGCAGTAGCTATTCTTGAATCATCAGGAGACCAACATAATGCAGTGATTTCTAATTTATGTCCTTAATAGGTTCGATAAATAGATAAATTAGCGCCATTGAATTACCAGACAATTAATTTATCATTACTTGTTGCTAAATATATCCCAGATGGAGATCAAACTAATTATGAAATCATTCTCTTTTCCATTTTACCAATTTAAATTGGATGTATATTAAATTAAGTATCCACTTCATTTAATAATAACCAATCTTCTTCTTCACCACTTCCCAAAGCCAATATATTCTTTTTTGATAAACTCAATGACTTTAATCCAGTTGTAGCTTCTATTATACTAGTGTATTTGATTCTTACAGACATATAATTATTTATTATAAATCAATTGATCATTTATTTTTGATTCTTTTTCATCAATTACTAAACGACTGAAGAATGGAAGAATCGATCAGCAAACGAGTTTATTACTTAAGGCGATTATTATTTATTGAAGTGTGGTTGATATCCATCATAACTTTTCATCTCTATATTTCGAGGACTGATTATTTATTAATTTTCCATCCAATTCAATGGTAACGAGAATTGACTTTTATGAGTAGTGTCACGAATCAAAGATTGAGTTTCTACTGGAAATGGACCTCTTATTAAATTAACTTAATAAAAATACAATGGTTTAGGAATTATTGGATCTTGTTTCTCATATTTTTAAGTAACAAAATTACGAGTATAATTAGTATCAGCAATAAATGGTAATTTCTTATCACTTTAAACATAAAATGGCCCAATGATACCATGATATTATTTTTTCCAATCTCTAAAATTAGCTGTGTATGAAGATAAACATGACATGAGATTCTAATTAGGTATATGATCAGGCTTAAAATTATCAGACTTTTCAAATTTTTATGGCACGAAATGTTACTTAAAAATAACAAAAGATATTGTACATTATATGTGCTTGAATTCTAGAGGAATGATGCTTACTATTTTGCTCTCTCATATATCCATCTATTAATGTATGTTGAATCCTTCATAAATTTATCATTATAATCATCAGTATATTATGTACTGTATTTACCTTTACATCTCAATTTCTTGGTCTTCAAAGATTGAATTTCCATTTCCTATAAATATAATGCTTATTATATCATATTTAATACTTAATAAATCTGAAAAATAATCCTAATTCTATGTGATGACATCCTCTATACTTTAATCTCTAACTTAGAGATCTCTCCAAAGTTAATGATCAGTTGGGAATATCTCTTAGATATTAATTATCAAATCAGCCAAATTAGTTTTAGATGACTATTCTGATATCAATTATTCCTTCTTTTATATAGATGGTAATGTTATCGGTTTTTGATCCTCAATCATTATTCTCTCTCCTCCATGTTATTATTCTGTCTCTATTTTCTATGTTTAATAATATAGTTTCTGAATATCTGGACTCACGTGTGAAGATAACAATTGATTTTTCAATTTCACTACTCTTCTCTTTTTCGGTTTCGTTTGATTTGTTCCATTACTTTTATTACTTTATTCACTAAACTCTGATCGTGATAATTTTTATTTATCACTTACTCTCTAAAAATCATTTTAAGTCAAGATCTTTTAGATTTTATCATCAATTATCATTCTTTATTCAATAATTATATATATATATATATTTATATTTTTAATATTATTCTCATTAATTATTTTATTTAATTACTCCTATTATGCTTTTATTATTTTAATCTATCTTAATTAACTAAGAATTTATTATAATTATGTTTATAAATCAATAGATTTATACTTCCTATTTACTATTTTATCAATATAAAATATATTTATGTCAAAATAAATATAATTTTTGTATTATAATTATTCTCTAATTTTCCTGATGTCAGATTAAAGAAATCGATCTTTCTCCATGTAAAACGATGAACTCTATACTCCGGATTAATATTCGAAATCTGAATACTCTCCTGATAGAATAAAAAGAAAATCTCAAAGATCATAATAAGCCATTATTTTGCCTACTGCTGTAAATGTTTGTTTAAATTATAAATCAGATAAATGATTTGGATAAGAATCATCTAAATAAATTTGAAATTTATTTAGATGGGAACTAGACTATAAAAGAAGGATGGTTATACTAAAGTAAAAAAGTTTATATTGAACTCACAAGATAATCAATAAGAGAATTTAATGATGAATAAAAAAGTTAATTGATTAAGGTTGTTTCCTTAAAGGAATTCGAATTCAATATCTAATAAGATAAATAAATGATTAAAATATATTTCCCTCATTTAAATTAAGTAGTCATATATTAAGCAAAAGATGCTGTAGAAGCTAAAATGTGGGTTGGGTGTTTAAATATTGTATTAGATAAACATAGAAATCATCCAAAAAATAAATTAAATTAATTAGAAATCCCAAGATACTTTGGATTTAATGTAATTTCAGAAGACTACTTTTTAAAAATTGTAGAATCTGGAGATCTCTTACTATTTGAAACTAATAATACAGGTGCTAAATTATAAAGAGTATTCACTAATACAAAATATGATCATGTAGCAATTGCAATCAAAATGGCTAATAAGTATCTTTTCGTATTTGATGCCAATGCAGATACAGGAGTTACTTTTATGGAATGGTCATAATTTATTGAAATTAATGATCTTTATGAAAAGTAATACAAATCTATTTATAATATTATTAGATTAGCTATAAGAAAACTTATATGTGTAGATCGATAAGAAATTGAAAATAAATTAATATAATTTTTATAACAAGTACATGGAAAGAAATATGAAATTACTTTTAGTAAACTCTTTAGATAAAAGAGTTTAAGTCCTTCTAAATAAAATGAAAGTTTTTTTTGTTCAGAATTAGTTGCTAAAGCATTTAAATATTGTGGATTACTCGAATCAGAAAAAGCAAGTAGTTCATTTTTACCTGTTGAATTCACTAAATAACTTAAATTAACTAATTAAACATAAGTTACAGATGACATAGTTGTGATACTAAAAAAACATTTGACAAAATGAACTTTGCTTTTCATTCTTTTTTTTTATTATCATTAAAAATAAATATTAAATCAATTGATTTCTTTTTAATTTCCTAATTATTGTTGCTTAATATCTAATTAAATAATAATATAAATATATACATTTTTGTATAAAAGTTTAGTATTTTGTAAAGATTAAGTGATAATACTAGTGTTTTGAATATCTTATTATTATCATTAAGAATTTGATTATTTTTCAGTCTATAATCTGAATTATCTTTTTTTGTTTGTTGTTTATACTGATGTGATATAAGAAGGGATATAACCATAATCTAAATCCTCTTCTAGATTAGTATAAACAACATTTTAAGATTTAAAGTTAAAATTAAGTTTAGTATGATGATTGATGAAATTTTAATTATTATTTTCTTACTTTATTAACTTTTGCAAGTATTTATAGAGAGAACTTATTAAGTATTTAGTATCATCTTTCAATTCCAAATCTTTAGATAAATGGCTAAGATAACCAATTACATTAGTATAATTATTCTCTATAGAATGGATCTTCTTAAAGCATATTTTTGATTAGATTCAAAGGTTGTATAAGTATTATCTTCTAATCTTAATCTAGATTGAGATTTTTAATCAGATATAATTAATCAATCTCTGTAGTTGTACCAGGAATAAAAGGATTCAATAGATATAACTCCGCTAAAATACATCCTATTGCCCAAATATCTACATCTTGATTATATTATTCTTACTTTATTTATTCTGAAGACTAAATCAATCGATAATATATATTACCCGATAAAATCTAGTTTAAATATAGTCAGTATGTTACTTATCAAAAATCTATTAATTTTACAATATCATTATATTCTCTGGTTTTAAATCCCTATTATATATATATTTATATAAATAACTAATACCTATACAAATAATTTAAAACATTTTATATTTGGATGGTTTGACTTTTTAAGCATATGAATTTTCTTTATTTTTGTTTCATCCTTTATATAGTTGTCTCTAGAAGACTATATTACCACAAATTCAATCCGTTTTTTCATCCATTTCTTATCTCCTAATTTTAAGATTATTTTATGCAATTTTTAAATATTCAACTCTTTCTACAAAAAGAATAAATTTTTAATAGAAAAATTATTTATATCAAATAATTTATAAAATTCCTTATTAATATATAATTTTATGGAAATTATTCATAATTAAAAAATGAAAAACTAATCATTAGTAATATCTAACTTTCAGTTCTAAAGAAAACTTAATCTAATGATCTACATCAAACTGTTGAAAAGAAATTAGAATTTATTAAAAGCATAATAAATTATTTATAAAAATACTATTGTTCCTATCAAAAAATTTGTTATTATTCATTTGTCATATTATCTCTATTAAATACATTAATTGAATTTTATAAATAAACAAAAAAATTAAACCCATAATTTTTTAATCAATTTTTATAAGTTTTTTAAAATAAATCTATTATAATTAGTACCTGCTTAGGTTGTTTAAAACAAGCCGAGCAAGGTATATTTTAAGTTAGGCATAACTTAAAATCTGAAATTCTCTAACTTAAGGATAGTCTTGTCCAAATTGAGTTGAGAAATGCTACATTGATTCGTTATAATAATGAAAATTATTATCGTTATAATAATGAAAATTATTATTATTGAAAAGTTTATAAATATCTATCTTGTAAAAGGAGATATTTTAATAGTGAGTTCTTTGTAACCCTGGTTACAAGTAAAACATCGGAGCAATCCAGATTTAAAAACTAGCATACGACACATCAATACATCAATTTAAAAAAAAAAAAAACACAAAAAAATTTTTATACTAGAATAAATAATCATAATACTATATAATTAATCAATATTTTAATTTAATAAAACTTAACAAAATTATGAATATTAAGCCTCCTCTTTAATTTAATAATTGTATCTTTTTTATCGTTTGTTTAATCTTAAGTTTATTCTCTTATCTATTTTCTAAAAGTGGAAAACTCAAATAGCAATTTATTTTTTAATCAACAATTCATGTCAACAAAATGCTTAATAATAATTGTAATCATATTTATTTTAGTATAATTTTTCTTTATTATGTTTTTCATAAAATCTTAATCCTTTGAAATAATTGGAGGAATGTTAATTTTTAATAATTTAGCTGAAAACTTCTATTTAACTTCTAATATCTTGTAAAACTTTTTTGATCTTATTCTACATTATATATTAATTACAGCGATATTATAGAAAATAACAAATATTATCGAAACAATCTCTTCAAATCTATTTGGCACTTAGATATTAATTTATGCTCACATCTATGGTAGTTCTAACTATCTCCTTATTATATTACGAATTTTTTATTTTTAACTTTTATAATCTCTTAAAACTATTAAATGAACTATATGACTATCATCTCCAAAAACTCTATTTAATAAATTATTACGCTTGATGTATTATAATTTATTATATTGCTTTTAACTATTCTAATAGATTATATCCTTTAACTAACAATGATTTTTAATTTTATTGTCTACCATCTTTAAATTCCAATTTACATTCATATAATTTTTGATAATATGATAATAGATTTTGTAATTCTCTCCAAAATTAACTTATCAAATTTTTCTCAATTAATATTTATTCAACTTGGTGAACCTTTTTAGTTTGTTATTCATTTTATAATCTTACTTTAATATTTTTATTAATATTGCTTATGAATATTAGTTCGCATACAGATATCTAATTTTCATAATTTTTATTCCTTTCTATATGTGAATGGTTTAGTTATAATTTTCAAACTACTATTATTTTTGAAGTTTATAAAAATACGTTTAGCTTTATTTTTTGAAAATAAAATAAATCATAAGGAATCCAAATGTTGATTATAAGGTAATTATTAAATTTAAGAAGATTATAAAAGTTTATAATAAAAATTAATATAATGAGTTAATTATATTAATTAATTTTATATAATGACTTAAAAAACTAGTACAGATTGTTGTGTATAGACTGATTTGTATGATATGGAAATAGAAATTGTTGAAAACATTTCTCCAAAAATGATTAGTGTAAATTAATTGTCAAAAAGTGTAAACATGAGGAATAAACATTTGAAAATAGATGTGAAAAATAATTATAATACATTATTATTAAGAAAGATAGAGACATTTGAATAAAATTTGAATTAACAAAGAAGAAAGAAAAATGTTTATAATAATAGATCATTACATAATGAGAATGAATAAAAAGGAATAAGAAGAAAGCAATTTATACCAAAATCATTCCATATTGAAACGCTTAACAATATTGCAACACCATAATAAATAGTTCTACCATAAAAATAGTTATTTACTCCTCTTCATGTATTAAAGAGGAAGTTGAATTATCCAGCAAATCCATATAGATTAAAAACATGTCCTGATGATAATAAATTTTGTGATAGGATTTTATATACAAATATAATACCAGACAAAATAAAACATTTTGATGGGATAAAAGCTTTTAAATGATTTAAATTATATGTTTATATGTAGATATTCATTCTAAAGTTTAGATTGATTCAATACTATCTATAGATGACACTTAATTATAATAAAATATAATTATATTCATTAGATATGAGATTTAATATGATAGATGATGTTATTTCTTATTAAATTAATAATTGATTTAATGTATCAATGGTATTTTGACTTGATTTGCAATATTTAAAATAGATTAAATTTTATTTTTATCTACTTTAAGATATTTAAAATGAGTAATTGAGTATTTTTAATAATTATTTAAGTTATATGATTCAGTAGTGTATAAAAGTTAGTATGTTCTAGAGCTGTTTTAATTTTTTTTGATTTAAAATCATTAATTTTCGTATTGGATTGTGAAATATTAGCAAGATTTCTTTAACTGTCAAAACAAAGAAGGAGAATACTTTATATATTGATTGATTATTGAAGTATATTAAATACATGTTAAGAAGCATAACATAATTCTTGGAAATCTCTTGGCTAATTGAGTTAATTTTCATATATCTAATTGACTTTTAATTATTGATCTTTTGGTTAATATGGAATTTTGCATTATTTTAATATAATTATTATATAAATAGGGGAATCAAAAACTATTAACTAATGATTTTTTATTTTATTTCTATTTATATACATCCATATTATCTAATTCTATTTAAGTCATATCAAAAGGTAATGTGGCAGATAAAATGGCAAGAATAACCATTGAAGCAGCATACAAATAAAATGGAGAATAGGGATTTTCAGAATACATTGGATAAATAAAATATGGTGATATAACACCCATAAATTTACCTACTGTTTAAGTCATACCTACTCCCATTGAACGATATTAAGTAGTATAATTTTCATTCATAATAACCATTTCAGCTGTAAACATCACTTTGAGTAAAAATGATATAATTGTTAATCCATAAACAAGAAATACATCTTCAAATATAATTAATAAAAGACTAGTTAAAAATATCATAACTGATAAGATTAAAACTAATTTAGATCTACCTCCTGTTTTTTTACTATCAATTATAAAATATACAACAATTCCAGCCATTAATTCAGCAAGCATCATATACATTTATGCCATAAATCCCTTTTAAGAATCTCCTAACCAAAATGGCATTAAATAGTAGAGAGTGGTTTCAATAATTGAAGTTAACATAAATACTATCCAAATTCTGATAGTGAAATTGATGTATTACTTTGAAAACAAATATTTAATACTTTTAATTGGTTGTTATTCCTAATTAATTTATTATTATTATTCCAATATTCCCTATTTTTATTCATCTGTTAATTAATATGAAGTTCCATTATTTACTTTACCTATATGTTCTAATTCTATGAATCCTTAATCGTAATTTTATTTAGTAAAATAAAATCTTGGAGATTCTCTTAAATAAATTAATGAACTTATAAAACATAAAAGCAAAGGAATACTATTGACTATTAATAGCATTCTCCAATGACCTGATTTATAATCATCTAAAAATATCATTTACAATCCTGTACAATAAATCTTTCCAATAATAAAAACAGTTGCTACTATTGTCATTACTTAACCTCTAATCTTTGCAGGTACTATTTCACTTATAACAATATGTCCTAAAGGAATTGTAGTACCAAATATTACTCCAAAAAAGAATCTTAAAATTAGAATCTCATAAAAACTTTATACAAGACTATGCCATAAAAGTAATAAAAATGCAAATAAACTCGAATAAAGTAAAGTTTTAGCTCTCCCTATTCTATCAGCATAAAATGCACATAATAAAGTCCCACTAACTATACCTATAAAATATGAGCTAGTCATTAATGAAATTTTAAGATCATCTAATTTCCATTATTGTTTTAAAACTGATTATAGAGTTCCAATTAATGTTTTCTCAATTCCATCGGCAAAATCTATCAGTGATATTATCAAAAGTACTATATATTAGAATTTACCCATATGCACACTATTCTCTATTACTTGATCTAATGTAATCATTAATAGTTATTTATTTTATATGTTAAATTAATTTACTACACCTTCTAAAATACCTTAACCTTCCCCTCTTCCTTATAATTAAGAATAATACTTAAATGTTCTTCTTCATGAAAGACTAATTTAATAATAATAAAACTATGGTACTCCTCAAATTATTACACCTCCATCTTAATAAACCACTTCCACTTAAATCAATTCTCCCAATTCCAATCAACTAAAACATTAAAAGTATAGTGTTATCTAACAAATTAATTCTCATGATATGCAAAATCAGTATTCATAAATCATGCAATATTACAAAGAATTAGATATCAATATGCAATAATAAAAATAAGAGAACTATCTTAAATATAATCAAATAATCTAAAAAATTGATAACATCTAATAAATTATGGTTCAGAATATCAATTAATTAAATCTTAATCAATATAATGAATATTAATAATTGATACAGCAATTGTAATAATAAAGATTAGATAATTAAAAACGATACGAAGAATTATTCTAAAATCTTGAATCTCATTAAGTTTAAAATAATTATGACAATTAATTTTAATCAAGAGAATTACTATAACATCAAATTATCAAACAATAAAATTAACCAATTACTAATAATATAAATTAAGTTACATCATAATAACATACTTATTAAACCTATGCATCCAAACCCATAAGTTTTGAACAAAAACTTTTTCCTTAAAAACAATAACATCATTCATAAGATTAAATCAATTATACTTAAATTCATAGTAGATCTAATAAGTAATCCTCTCCATAAATTTAAATATCTATAAATAATTTATCTCAAGATAATAATACTTTTGCTATTAATTAGCTCACTCCATTTTTTTAATATTCTCCATTAAAACAAAACCATTCTCAAAATGAAAAATAATTAAATCATTCTCCTTCTAATAAATAATTAATTCATAATTAAGTTTAAAATAACATTATTAAAGAGATTAAATCAACTAGAGAATAAATATCTCCTTCTGTTTATGGAAATAGTCCTAAAAATATTATTAGAGATAATTCTAATTAACATTAAAAGAAATAAATATTTGAAAAACCTGTTTTCAAATAAATTAATAAAAAACCATTTTTTCTTCAAAATCCTCAAATTAAAAATTTTGATCATCAAATACCGTAATAATAAAATTACATCTAGTAATAGTAATAATAATACTATCAAGTCTAATAATCATCTGATGAAAGCATAATAATTGATGAATAAAAAAATTCTTTATTACAATAATTAAAAACAGAATATGAAACTAATAGTTCAACATCGAATACTTCTTATTAATTAATAGCTCAATAATTACAATTAATTTATTGTGTGTATTGTGATCAGTATATCTCACACTTGTTATCTGATTAACATCTATAAGTTTGCAATTCTTAAAGACCTCAAAGAAGATAAAACGAAAGTTATCTAGATAAATATATAATTTATAGAGGAAATGATCTCTTAATCGAAACCTTAGAAGCTAAAAACAAAAGTATTTGTTAAGAAATTTTGAACATCAAATTAATGATGTAATTAGCTCAATTGTAAAAGTTTGCGATATAAGAGTAAATTTAATTAAAGGAATTTTGCTAAATAGCAATTTTAATATTAGATAGATTGTTGTAAAATCCTAATTCCTCTTAAGTAATTTAATATTATCAATAAATTTAATAAATATTTAAAGTAATTTATGTGGCACCTTAAATATTTTTTAAGCAATAGGCTAAATTATTGCAAAAATGCCTTGATCGAATAAAAGAATTATATTAGTTATTTAAAAAATGATTAAATATTTTTATTATAAATTTGTTATACAAATTTCGTGATAAATTATATTATTTAGTATCATATAATGCTTAATAATTATTGTATATGAATTTAAAGTCATTCTTATTCATTTTTATAAAATGGAAATATATCATAAATTTTGAATATTAGGATTAGAATATAATAGAATGATCTATGTTAAAGTTGTAAACTGAGTTTTTGTAAATTGAAGTAAATAGCTATGTATTAAATATAATAATTGAATTTTTTATTTATAAAATAGTACTATTAAGTAAAATCTTAGTAAATACATTTTTTGATTTAAATTATTCGTGAAATCTAAGTTCAATAGTAGGAGATGTATATAGAATTAAGAAGGAGAATGAAAAGAATAATAGACTATTAAATTAATAAAGGTTTAGTGGATTAGAGAAGAAATAACTATTGAATAAATTAGTAAATTTAATTGCAAATTAACCGTGGGACAATAAACTGAATAAATACTAAATCAATTATATTATAAATTCAAAGATAAAATAATTATGTCATTATATTAAAACTCATCTTCATCATAACGTAAGCCATGGACACCTAGTGAAGATAGATTGTTAAATGAATTAAAAAAAAACAAAGAATATAATTGGATTGAAGTTGCCAGAAGAATTGATGGTCGTAATCCATCTTAATGTTCTTAAAGATGGAAGCGTATCAAAGGATTTAAACTTAGAAGAACTTGGACAAAAGAAGAAGACATTAAATTACTTGAATTAGTTAATATTCATGGATTTAATTGGTGTTTAATAAAAACATATTTTGAAAACAGATCTGAAAAATAGGTTAGAGAACATTATCTTAATCAATTGGATCCATAAATTAATAATGCCCCTTGGAGTATAGAAGAAGATAAAAAGATTGTTGAACTTTATTAATAAATTGGAGGAAATTGGAGTATAATAACTAAAGAACTAAATTAAAGATCTGAGAATAGTGTTAAAAATCGATTTTATTCATGTCTTAGACATAAATATCTTAATGTTAAAAATCTATACTATATAGTACCTGAGAAAAAATAAAAGTTGAATGAAGAAGAGAGTTAGCAGAATTAAAATTTATAGGAGCAATAAAATATTACTGCAATTTAAGAGCCAATATAATAAACACTAGTTTAATAATAACCTAATTATGTTTAATTTTATTAGATTCCAATATATATACCTTAACCAATGTTAATGCCTGTATATATTTATCCATAATAATTTCAACTCAATAATCAACAATGATTATTATTTATTTTATATTTATGTGTACAGCTTCCAAAATATTCAGAACAAATCATTTCTACTCTGATTTTATTAGAAATCTTCATTATAAATCAATAATAATAAAGTATTAATTACATTATTTATTAATATTTTTAATGAAATAAATCAAACTAATTGACAATTTATAAGCATTTAGCATTGATTATAAAATTACAGTCAGACATGCACTTTTTCTCACATATGGAATGTATTTGACATATTAATACTATACAAAAATTAGAACATGTGAAGATGAAATTAGAGAAGTATTATCACAATATGTTATCAAAAGGAATTGCTTAATCAAAAATCCTAAATCCATCAATAATATCAATAATTATACAGTAAATCTTATGATGGTATACTTGACTGTACTTTAGACAAAGGAGATTGGATATTCTCTTTAGAAAATCCTAAGATCAATGAAGTTTTCAACTAAAAACTATCTTTGAATTACAAATATTAAACAATTATGCCACTTTATTTTTGTGCAGGTATTGGATTCCCATCATTAACAATTCTATGTTCATATCTATAAAATAAAGATGATAGATTTATTTATGGATTGGCTATTGCAGCTATATTCAGTGGTGTCAAACTTATTATTAAATTATGAGTTTTATTATTTTTATTTTATATACAGTATATTGTTCATAAAGCACAGGACTTAGAATTGATTTAAATGTTGAAATACCTTTATGGTAAAATCAATATGTCATTTTTAATTCAACATCAACTTAAGAAGGAGCAAATCAAGAAATTTATCCACAAAAAAAAATTTTAGCAAATTTAGTATTACAAATAATAAAGTTAGAAAAATAATTCACTAGGAGTCTACTCTTAGAAATTTGATTTTCTTGAATTGTTATATGAAGAAGATGTTGCATGTTATCAATAAAATGTTATGATACTTAGAGATGTTTAAAGTTGCACACAAAGTTGTTCTTTCTAAAAAAGTTATTATGAGTATCTAGGATAAAGTAGTGTTTCATAAAACATTTCTAAAAATTCCTCCTATATAATTGATAATACATAATTGCCTTGTGTTAATGGAACATTTTTTAAATTACTTGTCCCCTGGGTGACAGTTTAAATTTTATTTACCTTTTAAGATTCTTCTTATTTGATTGGAACTATCAGTATTTATTATAATCATTTAAGTTATTGTCTTACTTGTCACTATTATTACTATTTAAATTATGTCCATTATTGTATTGTACTATAAATTAAGAAAATATAAAAAAAAAATAAAACGTTCTTAAGACAAAAGTATAGCTAAAAGAAATATTATTATGAGAAGTGATTATCAAGTAAATATATAAAAAAGTATATTAAATAGGAAAGTAATGAAGAACAATCTCTATCACTTTAAGAAATCAAGAGCTAATAAATTTCTTATTTTTAGAGTTGAAATTTATTCACATTAATATAAGATTAAATCTATTCATATAAACATTTTTATGCTTTGTAATAAAATTATTAGTAAAAATATAAAGTAGACTTTTTTTAAAAAAAAGAATTGCTAAAAGAAACATTAAAATCTAATATAATATTTTTATCTTTTCAATTAGATGTTGAATAGCCCCCTTTTAACCTTTCTGCCATATGAACTGTTGATTCTTTTTGTATATTATAATCATTCAATCTAAGCTAATCCTCTAAGACCTTACCTGCAAATATCAATCTTTATTATTAAGGTGGTATTCCAGTTTTTTCATAAACCAAATATTTAAAATCTTTAATTGTTATTTCGTATTCTGCTGTTATTGTAATAGTTCTGCCTGACATTGTTTTCACAAATAGTTAACCTCCTCCTTTTAATCTTAATAATAAATTCAAAAATGAATTATTTGTGATTCCATACTATGAGAGAGTTTGATTATCCTTTAATTCACATTATCCAAAAAGAATTCTCTATTGATTATAAGGAATCCCTTCAGTATCTTATATTTTTATTTTAACACTTTCAATATTATCCTATGAATCACAAGTAAGAGTGATAGTTCTTCCTGTAAGGGTTGTAAGAAAAATTTACATTTGTTTTTCTATTAGATTAAAAAAAAAAAATATTAAATAACAATTAAAGCTCTAAACTAACTTGAATTAAGAAAACAATTATTATTCAAAATTTTATGAATATATTTCTATGAACATTGACAAAATAACCTCTTATCAATTTGATTTTATATTTTAAAATGTTTAGGTATTATTTGTATTTAAAAATATGTTCGAACAAGGGATTAGTAATAGCGATATATTATTTTAGAAATCTCTAAGATCAGGAAACAAATTAGCAAAACTAACAAAGAAGAATTATCAATATCAATATCATGAAGGTAATTTGATTACAAAATAGTTGTCTCAAATTGTATTTGATATGCAAAATAAAAATGATTCTTTTGATCTTGCTATCTAACTTTTAACAGAAGAAACAAGCTTATTAAAATAACATCTCTCTTTTTAGGTGTTTATTCCTCAAATCAAAACATAAATAGGAGAAAAAATATTAAAAGACAATAATCTATGGATCATTATTTTAGTTGTGTTTCATTCTTTATGTAAAATAAAATCTAAATACTCTGAATTTATATCAAGCAACATTCTAAATACTATGTAAAAAATATATTAAGATGATTCCATTCTAAAATCAATTCAATCCTAGGCATTTCGGATTATTTCAAAATCTGAACAATAAACACTTAATTAATCTGAATCAATTTATATCAAAGAACAATTCAAACTTGAATTTTAAGAGAATAAAGAAAACTATTAGAGTAATAGTAATTTTAAATAGTTATAAATTATAAATTAAATTGCATCTATTAAAGAGTAAGAAAACATAAAATCTAATGAAAAGCTCACAAACTAAATTGATGATTCGACATAGTAATTTTCAGACCTTAATAATGATACTATTTAAAATTAAGAAATAGAAGTTCCATAAGTTGATTTAATAATTAATGAATAAGTCAAAAAATTAGAAGAAGAACTAAAAATATAACATGAATAGTCAAATCATAATCAAAGATAATTATTAACAGAAAAGCTTTTTTCTCATTTTGGTTTCAAGGCTTGGAGAAGCGAATAAAAGCAAATAAGACCAAATCCTATTTAATTGAAAATGAGAGGAATCAGATTATTAGATGGATTAGACTCTAGAGAACTTTAAACCAATTATATCGCAAAAGCTGATATGATTTTAGTTTCTAATCTAAATGATAATGGGTTACATTCAATTGTTTAAGTATAGATTTGTTAATTTATAATATTAAGTTATCCAAAAATAATTCCTAAGAACTATTAGACTGGGGACTCTATGCTATCATTTAATTAAGCGATTAAAATTGCACTAGCAAATAATATTTTGAAGATATGTAATATTATAAATAATTGATTTCTTTTAAATTTAGATAGGAAAAGCAAATTTATATACCTTTTGGTAAATATGAGTTAATTTGAATTTATACTTAAAAAATAGAATGTATATTTATTATGTTTTGATAAGTATGATGATATGAAAAAATATAAATTCAGCCGAAGGAAAGCAAAATGATAATCATTACAATCATTTCTTAAAAGTTATACATCATCATAAAGGATGATTTCTACCCTAGATTAATAAGTTAATTGATTGATTCTTAATTTTATGGGTTAAGAATTTTAAAATATGTAAAATATTAAAAGGCAAAAATCTATTTTTGATTAAACATTTAGTTAAAGAGCAACAACCACAGCAGAATCAAGAAGGATTTGTAAAATGCCTACACAAATAATTGATTTCAAAAAATAATTTGAAACCTATCTATCTGGATAAACAACATGTGTAGATATTATAAAATATAACAACAGTTTGCCAACAAAAAAATGTAGAAATGTATAATTTTTTATAATATTTAGAGTCTTATCACCAAAAGGAAGACGCTTTATGTTGCAAATACAATGACATAATAAGAACCAATAATCGATTACAACGACATCAAAGAATTTATTGTTGATCATGATTAAAACTACACTGAAATCAAGAAAACTCTTAATACTTAAGCATCTTTACCAGAACGTAAATCATCTAAATAAGGATTGAGAACTTACATTAAAAGTGATTATTAGGAAAATAAACGATTAAATCATTTGAATCTAATAGCAGAAGATTATCGATCACGAATTAGAAATAATAATTTAGTATCAAGTCCTGATCATTTAAGTACAAAATTTTTTGATTGTAGTTTATAAGAATAAAATAAAAGCTAGAACAAAAAATATGGCATTAATAAGGTATTAATTAAATGCTCATTAGACCTAAATTGGATTCAGCAAACATTCAATTTCGAATTAAATAGTTAAAAATTGAAAATGGAATGAAACAGACATTAGTAGATGTATATTAGAAAGTAAACATAACAAATAAAAAATATAAGTTATTTAGAGCCACATCTGATCATTTTTTAGATGCTTTAAATTTAAATTGCAATGTCAAAACTTCTGAATTACACAAAATGGGAGATTTGGATTTCTATGAGTAATCTATATAAAAAATCAAATTTAGTTTAAATGGCAATAAAAATTTTATTATGTCAGAAAGACAGACTAAAAAGCCTTTATAATTAAATGGAAATTTAAAATAGTTGAAACATAATAAAAATTGTCCTACAAATCAAGATAATGATTGCGTCTTAGATGAATCTATCATTTCAGAAACAGAAGGTTTTCTTCTCCTAATATATAAAAGCTAAATTAAATATATGTTATGGTCTAAGCAAAGATTTCTAGAAAAAAATGATGAATCGTAATGAAAATCCAAATAAAATAGTAAATATTATATCTAAAATTGACTAAATAAGAGATAACATCTACTAAGTCAATAAAAATAAATTATATTGTGATTGATTTTAAATTACTTTTTCATTTATAAGCAATATCTCCTTTGATTTTATCATAATTAATTATTAGAATTTAATTAAGGTCTAAATAGAATTTGTAGCAAATTTTTGCACCATTTTAATTGAACCAACAACAATAAAATTTAAACATAAGTATAAAACATTTTTTTTTTAAGATCAAATACTTTTTTTTACTTATTGCTTCTTCTTTCCCAAACATTTATTTCCCATCTGCAACCATTTCTTAAATGATTAACAATATATATAAACTAAATATTTGTATAGAGGCATATCGCTAAATAAATTCTCCAATAATTTTTGAATTTCCCTATTATCTGTGTTATATAAAATTTTAAACAAAAAAAACATCAAATTCTTAAATATAATCTATTATATTTTAAAACCTCTTATTCAATTCTATATTAATTACTAGCTTTTTCTTATTGTTCCTAATAAAGCAATGTTTTAATTCTTTCAGGCAGTTTTTAATTTAACAATTCAAATAATTTAATCGTATATCTATATTTCGATATTTATTTACTTTGAATTTTGAAACCATGGAAAGTTGTATAAAAATAATTAGATAAAAGGAGGAATAAGATCTAACTTTGATAGACATTGATGAAACAACAAAAGGAAAGCCAAAAAGACCCAATTCTTTAATTAAAGTGTTAAACACTCTTAGGATTTTGATATTTTTAGTGTCTAAATGAATAAATTTCAAATTACTAAAAAGGATTTCCAAACTACAAATAAAATCAAAATTAATGACTAAAAAAGCTTAACAATTGTAATCAATATCGCCAAAAATATTAGCAAAATGAATATATAGCTTGGCCTCCTTATTTTAAATCTATGATCTTGATTATAGTGTTTTGCTATATCTCTAAAAAAGATCTATATTTTTATCAATATGGGATTTTCATCTAAACTGTCTAAAGAAAACCTTGTAATGAATTAATCAAAAATATTATTCATTAATTATTAATAATACTAATGGATTAAAATTATCATTAAATGCCATCCATACAAAAGTTTTAGAAAGAAAAATTCATAACTTTATTGTTGTCAGAAAACTATGATGAGTATCTTAATGGCCTTGAATATTTTAAGTAATTTTTGGATTTACAAGATTCAGAATTAGAATACTCAATAAAAATAATCATAAAGAAATAATTGATTCCAAGAATTTTATTTAATTTAGAATGGTCATGCTGCCTCTATTAAATGGATGTTCTCAAGTAGATAAATTTTATTTAAGAAATGCTAAAGAAATATAATTTCCAAAATTCCTTCATCAAAAATGGCTTAATGCATACTCTCATAAAAATAATTTAATTAAAAAATAAAAATTATGATAACGTAATTATAAGGTTTCTTGTTATGATTCTACATTCAATTCAGAATAAGTATAAATAGGATATTTAAAATCAAATAATAATCTTTGTTGGAGTTTAGAAAGTGATGTAAATGATTGAATATTAACCTCACTAAACTATTAAAATTAAATAAATTGCTTTGCTCTGCAACTTGTAAGACTAGAATTATTTTAAGGAAAAAAAGATTTTTATAGAAGAACTTTGTTAAATTTTACTAAAAGAACCAAATTAATCAGGGTAATTTATAGTAGCTGTAGAATTAATATCTGACATTATTGTATTTGATAGGATCAAACAATTAATATTGGAAAAGAATGTTCTGTAACCAATGATTGAGGCTATTCCTAACTGGATTTTAAAGTATCGATCTGTCTTAGACAGTATTTTAAAGATATGCTTAGAATTCATTATGTTCAATAATATTGTTAAACAACTTATTGTAACAAAAGGTTTGTTAAAACATTTAGGGGCTCTGATATAAAGCTAATTTTATGGAGTAAGATCTTATTCCTATTTGATAGTCCAATAATTAGCTAAAGATAAAATAATGGTTGAAAGATTATTTTTGAATTCAATAATAGATATTTTGCTAGAATAATATTTAAAAAATTAAAAATCTTTTGAGTTGATTTCACTTTTAACAATTATATTCGAATAAAGTATCAATATGTTTTCTAAATATTGCAAAAATAGGTCAAATGAATTTATATAAGCATTTCTAAGTACTTTTTTGAGCTTTTAAGAACTAGAAATATCTAAGATTTAATTTAAGTTAATTAAAATCCTTAAGGATTAAGAATTATTTTAATTTGAAATATAACAGTATTTTCTTGAACACAAAGTTATAATAAATGAAAGAATGCGATAATTTAATTTTTTTGATAGTGAGCTGTAAAAATTTATATGAATAAACTTATTGAAAATTTTCTATTATTATTTATGATTAATAAGATTAAAAAAATAACTTCTAACAGTAAATTATGTTTAATTAATTATTTAGATTTATTCCTAAGATTAAAAATTATTATCTACTAAATTAAATTTAGATGATATATTTGTAATAAATATAAATTATCAATTTAGAGTATGTTATTTTATTAAAATTTCTTAAGAATCATTAAATATTTTAACAATGAAATTATATTTAAACATTAAATTTAACATTTGAGATATAAATCAATATTCATCTTCTACAAGGCGACCATCACTGGAAGCATATAGTCACTTTCACTCTTCTTTCTAGACTACCTTGTCTGTGGGCCCTCTTTTTTGGACAAACAGCGGTGTTGATCTAAAACCCACCTTCCCGAGCGTAAACATGGGTGTGAGACATGGAAGTCCCCCATTAACCATTGAGGTTCCTCGTCCGAGTGTCGGACCATGCCATACTCAGGCTCTAGGAGGCCATAGGTGTGTGGGGGGCGGCGCAGAATGAACCATAAGCAAATATTTAAATTCTATCCTATCTAAATCCTGGATGGAAGTTCTAATTCCTTGATGGAAGTTCACATTTAGAATTAGATTGCTAATTTTCCAATAAATTATAAGACTATATATATATTAGTTCTAAATGAAAATCTTCATTTATTATTCGGGCTAATACTATTCCTCTAATAATTTTTATATGTTTATTTATTCAAATTCCTTCAATTTTCTTTAACTATTGCCAAAAAATGTGTAAGTTATAATTGTGATTAAACTTTTTTAAGAAATTACATATTTATCAGGAAATTTAAAACATTAAAAAATTGATTGGTTAATAAAGAGAAAAATATTTTTATAATTTTTTAATATTATCATTTTTTTATAAGTACTTGATGCAAGGCTAATATAAAAAAAAACGACTACAAACACATACCAAGATGAAATGTAGAATAAGTTTTAGATTTTAATTTGCATTCTATTGTTTAGTGCCAATTTGTCCTTATTTCGACTTTCTTAAAAAAAATTTTCCAGCTTAATTATCTATCATGTATGAAATTCAAAAAGACAGTGGATAGTAAAGATATTGTTTACCTCATTTTTCATTTTCAGCAATGAATTCTAAATTTGTGCCAGAAGTGAAAAAGAAATTTTTTATAGTAGAAAGAAAGAAATTTAAAAAAGTTAATCTTTAAAGGCAGGTTATGGGCTCTAATTCTTAATAATGAAGGGATTTTAAAATCTTACAATAGAGAATGTTAATAAGGAATAAGTGGTTCTAAAGTAATTATAATGTTTTCCAAATTGGGAAAATAGCTTGATACTTTTGTTTTGAAAAACTAGGATTTAAGTAAAAATTATAATACCATTAATTTAAGCTATTAAGTGGATTAATTTAATAAAAATCTCAATAAAATATTATGAAATTATTAACATTATGACTACATGTCAGAAGAAAGATAAAATAGATATCATTTATATGCCAATTATTTATTTTGTAAATATCAAGTTTATTAAAATCCAATGAGATTTAAAAGTATTAGAAAATAATGCAAAAACCTTCTTAGAGAGTCTTTACAAAAATTTATTGATCCTATTAAAAAAAGAAAAATACTAACTTTGAAAATCGAGTTGTCTAAGGGTAGCCCATATTCCACCTATTATTTACAATTAATTTGGATTCTTTAAAGTATTAAAATTAAAATGCACTAAATTTAACATCAATTATATTGCATGCACCAATGATCATGTTTTTTGGAATTTAGAAAAATTACACATATATTCAATAATCAGATATTTTAGACCTACCAAATAAGGAAATGATACTATTTAAGAATTAAAATGGTGTTAAATTGAATTAACATAAATTAAGTTGGATTTCTAAATGATTTGAGTATAAAATAAAAAATATGACTAACAATAAGATTAAGATTCGGAATATATTAAGATATCTATTCTTTAAATTATTATAAATTTTTTAATTGGTTGGGCTTTAGAAAATTTCAATCATTTAGTTTAAGATGATATAAAAATGGATCAGAGGATATAAATCTCAAAGATAATGGTTTTGGTTTAAAATGTTTATTAAAAGTAATTAGAAAAAATA